TACAATCGTAGTAGAAGTGACTTACTTTATTTTTAGTTTTTGGAGCTGATGGTTCTATTGCAATATTTCATAATGGGAGAACGAAGACTTTATAACTTATTATATTATGTTTTGGACAAAACCTCTGTAATTTTTTAGGGTAAACTATATATTTAGTATCTAAACTATTACTTTTATTCTGTTTAGGTACCCAAATTTTATTTTTTTCAAAATCATATCTAACGTTTAGTTTAAGTTTCATTTTGATATCCTATTATTAAAAAATTAATTGTAATATTGACATGTCATCATAGGAAAATGTCACATCATCATTGGAAAAAAATGTCATGTCAACAATTATGTTAATTTTTCTAATGACATAAACTAAAAGTTAGGTATGATTTTGAGAAAAAAATAAAATTTAAGTACCAAAACATAACTAAAATAATAGTTTAGGTACTGAACTTGTAATTTATCGAATTTTTTAACCGTTCTTATACTAATATAAAAATTAAATTTATAAATTACAACAAGGGTAGGGGCCCAATGGCCCTCCATCCCTCTATGTGTGTCGGGTGCGAGCTTTTACCTTAAAAATTAGGTCGAGTTTCGTGTAAGATGAAGTTTCTCTAAATCTAAATCGAGTCAAATTCAAGTGGACCAAAAACTCGACCTAATCCATGACTATTCCTATTTACACTCAATTCAACGAGATCCACATATTGTAATAATTATTCAACTTTCCACAATTATAGAACATGGGCATGTTTGCATTGACATGAAAATAAAGAAACTCTTTAAAATTTCAGCTACTGATATTCCATTTTTTTAGCTAATTATCCCTTTATTTTAAGAAGCTTTATAAAAGCAATGACAGCTATATTATAAAACAAGAAATCCTAATCAATTTAATTTGGCAATAGCAATAAATTGCCTATCTACCAAGCACATGGATATGATCAATGATGCATACCCGTTCGACAGCTATATATACTTTAGGCTTTTGATTTCCTGAAAAAAAATTATGATTAAATAATTATTTTATTGCGAATTTTATTTAGAAATAATTATAGTGATAAAGGAAGATGTATTTTTCTTAAGTAGTTTGAACAGTGTTATCCATAAAATTACATTGTGAGATTATGGATCTCATGAACATAGTTAGAGTTGAACAGAAATGGTAAGCATTGCTCAAAGAATTGTCTTCTTGTCTTTGCTTTGTTTTTATGTGTTTGTGGCGAACGAGGTTGTTAGAAATGTGGTGAATGAAGAAAAGAATGAGGATTACAAGTACTTTCTTACAAAGGGATATTAGTTTGGAGGTCTTGGAAGTTGTTTTGGAGGAGGTGCTGGTGGTGGAGGGCTTGGAGGTGGAGCTGGTGAAGGGTTTGGTGATGGAGTTGGGAAAGGAGGAGGCTTTGGTGGTGGCATAGGAAAAGGTGGTTGACTCGGTGGTGGCTTTGGAAAGGATGGGGGACTTGGTGGTGGGATTGGTAAGGGTGGTGGCTTTGGAAAGGATGGGGGACTTGGTGGTGGGATTGGTAAGTTTGGTGGCTTTGAAAAGGGTAGGGGCCTTGGAAGAGGTATAGGAAAAGGTGGTGGCATTGGATTTGGTGGTGGAATTGACAAGGGTGGAGGCCTTGGTGGTGGCATTGGAAAAGGTGGTGTACTTGGTGGTGGCTTTGGTAAGGGCAAGGGCATTGGTGGTGGACTTGGGAAAGGAGGCGGCCTTGGTGGTGGCATCAGCAAAGGTAAAGGCTTTGGTGGTGTCATTGGGAAAGGAGGAGCCTTTGGTGGTAGCAATGGGAAAGGAGTGGGGATTGGAGGTGGATTTGGAAAGGGTGGCGGACTTGGTGGAGGAATTGGCATTGGGGGTGGTAATGGAAAAGGTAGTCCATTTGGTGGTGGCTTTGGTAAAGGTGGTTGATTTGGAGGTGGATTTGGAAAGGGTGACGCACTTGGCGAAGGAATTGGCAAAGGTCGGGGCATTGGGGTGGTATTGAAAAAGGTAGTGGACTTGGTGGTGACTTTGGTAAAGGTGGCGGGATTGTAGGTGGTTTCGATGGTGGTGAGTTGGAGGACACCACTAGCTATAAGCTCACGTAGCATGGATTCATGGATCAAATTATCCCAATTCGTCCAAAATGAGAACATAATTTGAATAATTAAATTACTAAAAAGTTAATAAGCCAAACCAAATACCACATGTACTCAACGTTAAATTACTTTTACTTCCATTATTACCCATTTTAATTATTGTTCGAATCCATGTGTTCATATCTTGTATGTTTTGTTATTTGAATTACCTACATGCTCAAAGACTATATTGTTTGAATTCATGTGTTCATGTCTTGAATGTTATGTTTTTCGACTTACCTACATATTCAAAGACAATGTTCAAATTCATGTGTTCGTATCTTGTATGTTATGTTATTCGAATCCCGGATATTGATGCGAGTCCATCATCATTCACGAGCAAACTTGTGATGAACAAAATCCACCTCCCTGTTGAATATAAACAAGTACGCACACAAAATGCAGATACTAAAACATTGTAAATCTAATGTATCTTCAATAACTCTGCAACTCCATGATTGAAAAGCACAAGAGTATTTAAAGCACTTCAATTTGAGTCCATTAGCATTCAAAGCTACACATTTCCATCTTGAAATTCGCAAGCAAACTTCCAACAATGGGTCATTAAACATATATAATGTGTCATCTCCACTGACCTGAAATCAATGTAAGATGATAACAAATAGCAGTGAAAGAGGCACATTTTGATGTAAGACCATTAGCAATCAAAGCTACACATTTCCATCTTGAAAAAGCTAGCATCATTGCCAAGATGAACTAAAGTAAAATAGGGTCATTAAACATATATAATGTCTCATCTCCACTGATCTGAAATCAATGTAAGATGATAACAAATAGCAGTGAAAGAGGCACATTTTGATATAAGTCCATTAGCATTCAAAACCAAACATTGCCTATACAAGGCTCTTTAGCTTTGCCAAGATGGACTGAATCCTATAGGTTAAAAAGCACTCAAGCAATACAACATTAAGTCATGTAATAATGTATCTTCCCCACTGATTTGAGCTCCTCATTGAAAAAAAAGAAGCACAAGAAGAACTGTGAGGAAGATGATAATGTAAGTCCATTAGCATTCAAAACTAAACATTGCCTGTTAAGGCTCTTTAGCTTTGCCATGATGGACTAACATGGAAAAATGCAATATTCAAACAACTTCATTTCCAGAAATGAGGTATATTCAACAACCAGTCATAATAAAGAATCGATCTTTAAGAAAGAAAAGACAAAACCCAGAAACGTAATCAGCTTCAAAACCAATGATGTGTAATATTTCCTTCCCAAATCCATCGGTAACCCACTGTTTTTCCCATATTTTTTCGGCATCCAAACACTCAAAAGAACATGACAGGACGAAAAAGAAAAGAAAACAATAAGCAAGGCGACTGTGATGAATTTGGAGGCGTCGAGGAATAAGGAGAGATTGTTAGGGTTCTTGAGAAAGGCTGTATTTAATTTTGAATATTTTGGGCTTTCCATGAAAAGTATATACATATTTTGGGCTTTGAATTAGACCCAACCACTGCAATATTTCATACTTTTCGAGGGGAGGGGAGGGCATTAAAAAGATTAGAAGTTTAAATTAAAATTCTGGAAAAACAAATTGAAGAGTTTATAGTTTATATTTTTTTTGTAAAAAAAGTTAGGGTCTAACTAACTTTTTTTAAAATTTGAAGGGCTTAATGAGAATTTTTAAAAATTATGGAAATGTTTAATTAAAAATATTCAAAAATTTTAAAGCTTAATCTGAAGTTTTAAAAATTTTGAGTAGAATTATTTTTTTGAAAATTTTAAGGGTATAAATTATAATTTTCATATTTGTAGGAGAGCCATTGCTCCCACTAATCCTTACTTTGTTCCGCTTTTGCATAGACTATATAAAAATGATTATTTTTTCAGCGAACTTTCAAGTATTATAAAATAATTATTAAATTTATTAAACGATTATAAAATTATCTCAATATATTATAAAATAGTAATAAATTTTAAAAGTTTTTTATAATGATTAATTTAATAATTATTTTATAATAATTAGATAAATTTTAAAAATAATTTTATAAAATAATAATATTTAAAAATTTAATGATCAAAAAGTCAATTCATAAGGGGAAAAAATCTAACCTAAAGAAAAATTTTCGATAAGAACATGAACATCATATATATACAAATCACATCAATAGATGTTAACTACTTAATCTCACAATAAATCTAACATCAATGTTTTAGGAAAAAGATATTTTATAAACTTTGTTTATCACATTTATTTTTCACGTCATATTTTCTTTTGAATTAAACTTTATAAGTTATTATCTTATTCTTTATTCCGTCATTTTTTTAATATTTTTCACCAGTAGGGGTTGGTTCAAGTGGTAAGCAGCTTAATATTGCTTAAGCAATATCTTGAGTTCGAGTCCTTGTGTATGCAGAGAGTCCCTGTTGGGAGACTCACACACCAAGGCCAGGTATGCGATACGGGTCGATCCAAATTAGTCAAGACAAAACCTGAAATCTAGAGGGAAAAAATTCTATGTTTTGTTCTACTCTTTCTTGAATTCACCATTATAATTCAAATTTAAAATCAACACAAATTCAAAATTCCGAATACTGGACAATTTATGATATATTAGTTTAGAAATTACTTATTATTGACACTAGGGTGATTTTGATATTGGACTAACCTCTGGTTTTGTTACTTAATTTTGACATTATAAAAGTTACTATTGTAGTAAGTAAATTTGAAAATTGAGCATAAAAAAGGGACCAAAACCTTAATTATACCTTTGAGAAAAACAAACAAAACTATCATATAAGGATTTCACAAAACACTCACTTAAAAAATCTTTTATATCATTATGGTACATTTGCTCTCATATATATACCAACAACAAACTAAAAAAATTATATTATAATACACAGATTTTCCCAAATCAAATCTGAATACAACAATCATTTCAGAGAAAAACCAATACTATAAACCAAACCTGTTCTTCATATTCCCAGTTTTATATACAGTATTGCTTTCCCTGCTTCACAAGCTTCTTTTCGCCAATTGAAACGTTTTCTTCAAGAAATGGTTCGCCGTCCGGTCATTTCGATGGCACAACACTCTCAGTATTGTGTTCGGATCCGATCGGTCCCACGTTCCTGTCGTTGGCGGCATCGGTAGCTTTTGGCCTATGCCAGTGAAGCCTATGCCACTAGTCGCACATGTGACAGTGCTGAACTCTTCTATTAGTTGTTCTGTGCTTTGCCCCATCAATGATATCACCCCTTCGGCTTTCTCGGCTTCCTTTTGGATTACATCTTCGGATATCGACCTTTCTTCGAATATGGAGAATACCCTTTTCAAGCTCTGGAAATCTTCCTCGATCATATCGTAATCGGATCTATTGAATTTCCTCGCCGGTACTCCCGCGAGCAGTATCATGAGGAACGCTTCGAATGATGCCTTCATGACTTCTTTTATTGCTAATTCTTGCGCTTGGTCAGTGAGGATTGAGGTGAGAAGCTTGAGGTTCTCGTTTAGGATTCTTAGTGCGGGTCGGATTCTCGAACTGGCTACACCGCTGATGTAAAGAGACTCGTAAAAAACTAGGTTTGTATCGAGGAAGATCAGGCGGTAAGCGGCGATTTCCGATATGTGTTCGCAGCCTGCTTGAATGGATGTATTGGCACGTTCGAAGTAGGAAAACGAAGCATCATGTTGCTTCTGCTTGCGATTGCTGAAACGGTTTCGAGTTAAGACTCTTGGCGCAAGGGCGAGAGTTTTATCGAGGGAATGAATGTGGGAGATTAGATAGTGCAACGTATTAAGGCGGACGTAAAGGCACTGCGTTCCGAGGCTCGTCGATGGGGAATGATGCTGGTTTTCCATTGTCATGGCTGCGTGCATATCTTCGGCTCGAAAACCGCATGGACTAGCCCTTTTCCAAAACCTGGACAACATTGAATCTTGGTTGCATCTGCTTAATGGAGGAAGTGTAGGAAGATAATTCTGCTTCGAACCTGGAAAAGAAAGATACGAAACGATGTGAGCTCGACGGACTCAAACGGCGTTGATTTGCCGAGAGAGGATAAGCCAAAAATGGTGACGAAAACATGATACTCACCACATGATGCTACAAAGGCAATATATTCTTGAATGGCCTGCTCTAGTCCTTCAGCTAGATCAAGAATCAAATCCTCTGTAATTCCAACTGGAATTTCAAGGAAATCATTCACAGTTTGCTTGATCAAGTTCATTAGCTCAACAGCGGAATACGCGTACCGCTCGGATTTAGAAATCGCACTCCATGTCTGCAATACAAATTGCAACCGGTTAGTAAACTTAACCACAGATAATTTCAAAGTGGAAAAAAGAAGAGGAAATTGATTTACTTCAGTTTTCTTTGCATTATAAACCAACTTTCTCCCTTTGTTTAGTCTTTCACCTATCCATTGTCCCAAAAGCCTTATTGTGACTGTATCAATTTCATATGGCCTCATTTCTTTGATAACCACTTTGCCTCCATTGGCACACTCTCCGAAATCTTCGACCACTATTTGAACCAAGAACTTTTCGAGTTTCGAAGCTCGTTCTAGTACCCCGACGATCTCGCTGTTCAACATTTTCGTCCCTGCTAAATGTTGCTTCAACACTTCTCCGTAGCATTGGTGCAGTATCACAGCTGCAACACAGGCTGCAGTCGGATGCCATTTCTTCAATATTGGACTAAATAGCTCGCGCTCTCGGGCGGCCAAATCCTCGGTTTCTTTTGCCAGTTGAAGAAGCTCTGCATAAGCATCCCCTCTTCCTCCCATATCATCATTTTTAACATTTTCTTTTTCTATTATCTATAGCAAACAACATAGTCAAGAAATGAGTATAAAAAGAGCATGTAATTAATTGCCTATATGTGTATAAATCACTCACCTTTGCAAAAGCTTTCTTCAGGGAAGATCGAATGTAATGCTCGAAACGAGCACGTGTCGAATCGACACCCGATACATCCCCTTCCGTTTTCTTAATGCATTCAACCAAGATCTTCGTCGACATCAATGCCATAGGTAAAAGATTCTCGGTTCCACCGATATTTCCTCGATTGAAATATTCATGGTAGTTGAGCAATTTTTTCTCTGCCCAATTCTGGATTGCAACCAACATGGATGACAACATCTTCACGTATGTCTCGTCTCGATTATGCAGCTTCCTAGCATCGTTCTCCACTTCCAACAACATAATATACGCCGCACGAAGAAGGTCGGGCTCCATCTGGTTTGTCACGACGTATTGCTCGAAAAGCACCCAAGCAAAACAAGCGTTGTGCATCGGTTTGTTGAGTCCCAACGTAGACCATGTCTTCTTCATCAGTTCCAGCAACTCATCGACCTCATCCAATACTAATGTCTCATCCCTAATACTGAAAATCGACCGAAGGAGAGTTGTGTAGATGTGTACGTTGAGAGGGTACCCGTCGGCCCAATGGCAAGAAGTCGTAGGAGTGCCATTGTTACTTCGCCAACATAATGAAACGATGCAGTTACATAAGGTTCTCATCGTGTCAGAGTTCTTTCCCATGTCGATAGGCTTCGATTCGCCGGATCGGATTATGTTGCGTAGGCGGATCATGAAGGAGTTGGCTTTGTCTATAGGGATAGATGGATACTGGATGAGCCCTGCTTCTAGGATCTTAAGCTGACGTTTTTGCCAAAGATGGTACTCATGTGCATCACTGAATTCAGATGGTTTTAAATACCTTAGAAGCTCAAGTGGTAGGATTATAGTCTCTGATCTCTTTCCAGCCTGTTGCCAAAAAAATTAAAAATGCAGGGTTTAAGTTGCAAATAAACCCTTTGAATTAAATACATTACTTAAAGGATTAATTTACTAAACATCCCAAACTATTACCCTTGTTCTAAGTTGATCCCTAAAGTTCAAAACATGGACATATAATGTAAAAAATGTGATAAAGCTGTCAAAATGCATGTCTACACATGTTATAATTTGATCCACGTGTTTGAGGGCTTCTACTGCAATTAACCCTTATAAATAGAGTTTTAGTAGATAGTGATATTAATAGACATACTTGGCCAACAAGGGTTCTTGTTATAGTCTTCCTGAGCCTATTATCACTTTGTTCCGTCACCTTCATTTGCTGCCTCATAATCTCCGCCGACGTCAAAGGCCGCCGCGGCCACGGAACCGGAGCCGTCGAAAACCCCATTCCAACGCTAGAACCGGTGTGAATACCGCCATGTCCTTGAGATACAAAGGCCGACGTCCCAGACCCCGCACCGCCGCCGCCGCCGATAGGGAAGCCTGTCGAAAACATCGACATCCTCCTAGAAGGCGACTTTTTCAACATCTTTAGACCCAAAGCCTTTTTAACCTTACTCGTTGGGGACATCACCACCCCATTCACTCGCCTGGTCGGTGAACCCGACCCTTGCGATTCATTCCCACTGTGATCATGTGAAGAACATGACGTCGACGTCGACCCGGAAGCATTCCGACCACTTGCAAAACCCGGCGTCGAACGACAAGCCGTGAAGAATATCTCGTAGGCCGCTTCACGGATGTCATCGCAGTCGAGGCCGTCGAGGTGACCGAAAGGCCATTGGAGGTCGACAACAATATCAGCGTCGTCATCGTTGCATTGTCTTTCTTCGAAGACGGAGTTGGCGCTGCCATGAATGGGACGGCGGTCCATGGCGGAAATGAAAACGGGGAAGGGGTATGAGGATGAGGGAGCTCAAACAACCGATGAAAATCGAAGATTCAATGCGTATTTCAACGGGACGGGGAACGGAGTGGAAACGGTTGTGTTTTCCTTTTATAGGGGAAGGAATAACGAAAGAACAGAGATTTTGCCGGCCATGCAATCAGTTTCATGCAATGAAAACGATGATTGATAGGTCGGTAAATTGCACTTAACATAGCAAATATTTTTCATTAAATCCAAGCTGTAATCATTATCTTTCTGTTTCCATATAAAATATTAAGAAAATTAAATCAACTATATTATTTGGTTTGATATTTATTCAGTTTTATTAATTGTGAATTGGTTATTATTTAGCTATAATTATTAAATCAATAACGTTATTAAAATCAAATATTATAAGAGATTAAATTGTTTTATATCAAAGAATAATGATATGTTAAACATTTAAATTCAAAATTTTAAAAATCCAAGAGTTTATTTAATTCATATTAAATGTTTAAACTAGATTGGACTACTATTTATAATTCATCTTATTTGACTTTTTTTAAGAAAGACTGATATATTCATAAGCAAAGTAAAATGATATCGACAACTTCTTGTCATATAAATATAAATATATATATATATATATGCTCGATAAATACATTTATAACTACCATAACAAATATAACAGTGAACGATCAGTGATAATCTGAAGAGCAAGAGCGTAAATAGTTGAGGCAACGACATGTAAACACAAAACATTCCGACGTCCCCAAGAACCAAATATAGAGAAAGAAAATGTGATGAATATCCAAAACAATCAATTCTCCTTTAATTGTAGTCTCATCCAGGATAAATATCTGACAACCAACGAAATGTCATATTCATACGAACGAAGAAACCATACATCTAAAAAACAATAAATCAATAAATTCTATAAAAACTCTTACCAAGAAGAAAACTAATGAAATAAATCTGCACAAAAACCTAAAAGCACCAATAACTATGGAATCCTCTATCAAAAAAAAGCCAAAAGAATACATTATTATAAATACGTAAAATATAACTGAAAATTAATTAAAGCAAACTGCAACCTACGAAAAAAATAATAAAAAGAAGAATAGAAACCACAGGGAAATGATCGAAGAATGCCACTACCACCGTCATTTAAGCAAAGGAATTTTAGGGTTTATTTGTTTGGGGGAAAAATCAATTACGGAATTGGTTTTTTTCGAAATTTTGTGTTTGTTTCACGTAATTTATTTTTCGGAAAATATTTTTCTGTGTTTATTCCACGTAATTCGTTTTTCGGAAAATGTTTTTTTAGTGTTTGGTTGGAGAAAAACTAGTTGGTCAACGTAAAACATTTTCCTGGTCAACAGAATTTCTTTTTTGTTTTCTGGAAAATGACATACGGTCTGATTTTCCGTAAGTCATTTTTCAAACTTTTCACTTCAAAGAATAAATACTAAAAATAATTATATTTTATGAATTTAATATTAATAAAATATTTTAATATCATATTAATCAAAATATTAATTATTAAAATATTTAAAATACATTTATTAATATTTCTAATAATATAATATTATATTTTAATATATATAATATTATATTTTTATTTCAATACAATATACCAATATTAATATTTTTATAAATAAAATTATAAAAATAATATTTAATAATAAATAAATTATTTTAATATTTTAAAAATAATAATATTAAGTTTTATGATAAATAATATTATTTATTATATTTAATATTTGTAATAAATAATTTTTAAAAAACTCATCAACTAGTAGAAAAAAGTTTTAAATAACATCTTCCAAACATCGTAAAACGTTTTCCAGGTGTTTTCAGAAAAATTTAATTTATTTTACAGAAAACGTTTTCCAAAAACGTTTTCCTGAAATGTAATTCATTTTCCAGATTTCAAATTCTAATTATTCATTTTTCAGAATTCAATTTTCAGAAAATCAATTACAGCCAAACAAACATACTTTTAATAACTGTCTTTTAAGTAAATGTAACAGCAACAGAGCACTTGAAAGTAAGTCTCATCTTATTTGACTTAGATGAAAAATTTAAGGTTTACGTCAATTGAGGGAGAATTTCATCTTTAGCTCCTAAAAAGATAGAGAGAAGGTCATCTATATTTTATCATACGAACCAACATAAAATTTTATGTTAGAGGATGAGCTTATAAAATTTTAAGAGTGAACATTTTAAATTTTAAGAGACGAAAATATAATATTAATAAAAAAGCTTAAAAAATATTTAAATTATACAATAATTTAAAATTTGGCTTAATACCCAAATAAATACCTAAATTATTCCTTTTTTTTCTGAATAAGTACATACAGTATTTTTTTTGGATCATCCAGGTGCCTAACGTTACAAACGTGATTGCTTTAGGTTCCTGAGACGTAACGACTGCTAGTTTTCTTCGTTATGTGACACGTGTCATAATCTAATAATTTTAAAATTTATTTAAAAAATATTAAAAATATTATTATATTTATAAAAAACTCTAATTTCTTTTAAATTACAAAAAAGCCTCAAAATTCATAAAATCCTCAAATTCTAACATTAACCCATCGTCACCGCCTTTTTAACCACGACCACCACCACCGACGTAGTCTCTTCCATCATCCTAATTATAAGCTGTCATAGTTGTCGTCAACTGGTCGTCGAAATTGTGTGGGATCGCGATTTTCATTCTAGGGTCTGTGTGGTATAAAATGTCGATTTTTTGTCGACCGTCGACGATCGGTCATGATTTTATAGGGATTTTGGTCATCGGGGAAATGTGAGGTCTTTGTCGACAACTACGGGCGGTAGTTGGCGTGGGTTTAGGGGTGAAATGAAGGTTTTAAAAGTTTTGGGGTTATTTCAAAATTTGTGTTTTATGTTTAAAATATATATATTTTATTTTTTAAAATTTTATATTAAAATTTTAAAATTGTCAGATTGTGACACGTGTCATTTAACGGAGAAAATTAATGTCGTTGACAGCTCGAATATCTAAAATAGTAACTTTTGTATCGTTACTACTTGGATGGTCCAAAAAATAGTGTAAACACCTATTAAAAATATAAATATAGTTTATACGTGTATTTAAATATTAAGCCTTAAAGTTTTTAAAAGAATAACTGTTCCATCACCCTGACCGATCCATGTTTTTCCGCCTCAAATATCAGGTGAGAAAATAGAGTAAGAGGAAATTGTTCCATGTTAGCATAAACTGCCCGAATTATAATAATTTTATTTTATTAATCTATTAACTATTTAATAATGGAATGATTATTTTTCCTTGAACCATTGTATTTGTCAGTATTTTCAACAAAACAATATTAAATTAATCTTTATTATCATTTTATTTTAGATGAAATCATTTTATAATAATCTATTATTACCTTTTTTAATAATTTATTAATTTTTTAGTTAAAATAAAATTTAAAAATTGAGTGATAAAATTTAAAAAATAAAATTTAAGTGATTAAAATATAAATAAAGTAAAATTTAAGAGTTTAAATGCATCACTTACCCTTTTACGATTTGACAAAAGTTTTATGGAGGGTCAAGATTTTAACATCAACGGTCGAGATTTGAAACTATGGAGGGTCGCGTCCGTGCTAAAGTTAGAGGTGAGTACTCAATCGAGTAGAGTCGAGTATATTAAAAATTAAGTTATTCAAGTAGACAATTCCTATTTTATAATTCGGAGTTGACTTGAATTTTTTTCGAGTCGAGTCTATAAAATTCGAGTTGAGTTGAGTCGAGTCAAATTTTTGAGTTTTTGTTTAAATTTAATTGTAAATATTTATAATATTATAATATTAGTTGATTACAATTTAAATGATTTTTTATATATATATATATATATATATATATATATATATATTTCTTCATACTTTTTTCATATGTGATATACATAAATCATGCAGAGTCGAGGGACTTGACTCAAATTTGAGAATCAATTCACTAATTACTAAATATTTTGAGTTATACGAGTTACTATTCGAGTTATTCAAGTTGTATTTCACAACTCAATTTGAACTTGAAATTTTTTTGAGTCGAGTCGAGTTTATGAAATTACAACTCGAAATTAATTCAAGGTGAGATTTTTCAAGTCGAGTCGATAAAATAAGTTTTTCTAGTCAAGGCGAGTATTGTTCACCCTTAGCTAAAGTTGTTGATGTACGGTTGTTAATATTGTCATTTTCTTTGAATAAATTATAAATTGTTTTATTAAATAAAATATTTTTATATTTTATGTTCATTTTATTTTTTATTTTTTAATAGAAGTCGTTAGTCTTATTAAAAGGTGAAATATCCAAAATTACAATAAGGGTTTACAAATCATATAATATTAAAATTAGTCACTTTAGATCATATAAAGACCAAACATAGAAAAGGTTAAAAACCCAACCATAAGTCTCGAACGAAAAATAGATACATAAACAAATCCACTGCATCGGCAAACGAACCACGAAAGGAGATGAAACTATTAAAAAACCACCGAGAATCGCAAATCAAAATCAAAATCAAATGTCATGAGAAATTATCCACAAATGAAAAATATCATATCCAAACTCAATCTGAAGGTCTATAATAGGGAATATTAACAGGATTTCACATCAGTCGTGACGTCATCAAATCTAACCCTGAGAAAACATAAAATAAAAAGATATAGCCAAACGACTGATAAAAAAGACGAAAAACGTACTATAAAGGTAGAGAAAACGTGCCATGAAAACAAAATTATTCTTACTGAAAAAATAAAAAAGAAACAAAGGGAAAAGGGAATCGACGGTCAACAACCAATATCAAAATCGGTATCGCTGCCGGCTAAACAAAATCAAAGAAAAAAGTTATTTAATCCGCATGGACGTGTTAAAGACACATATTACCACGAGCAGTAGCATGAGCCAAGCCGAAACGGACGACAGTGCGCGAGAGTCCCCGTTGTTCTCTATCACTCAACAAGGGAGCGAAGAATACAA